CTCCCTGTCGCATCCACCGGCTGAGCACAGCTCTGCCTCCACAGGCAGCCTTGTGTCAACAGCCCCTGGAGCCTGAGCCCTGGCTGCGTGCTTGTCTCTGGGCTCTGCACAGTTTCAAAAGTGTCTGGAACCCCTGTCCCAAAGAAAGGGACAATCGCACCCTGAAAAGCCTTTGCCCACATTCAACATCCCGGAAGGCTGGTCGGAGGCACGTCAGCCTCACCTGGTCCTTCCCTGGCAGTCCTGGTCTACTTTGTCTTACTGAGCTCTGTATCCATGCATGGAAGCTCCCCCGGGAAGCCCCAGGAGAAGGCTCACTCTAGTCCAGATGCATGCAGGGCAACTGAGAGGATCTACATGAAGCAGATCCTGAATGTTCTTATTACAATGCTGGCTCCTGTGCCCTGCCACCTTCAGAGAGAGCTGGGTTTGTCTTAAATAGCAGCCTTGCTTATGCCCATATACTCCTTGCTTCACAGCCCCTGCTTGCCAGCCAAACAGAGCTCAGGAAAAACTTTTCATAGCAACCACCAGGCTGGGTTCTGCTTCGCCTCACCAAACTAAACAGCATAGCATGATAGCAAGCCAGGGAAGTCTCCCCTGCTTCACCCAGAGCCTCCACTTGTCTGGCCTCTTCAGGTAGATGCCAGATAAACTACAGGAGGCACAATTACATTTGAACTTCACATAAACAATGAATAATTTTTTAATATTGCTTGTGATATAGCTATATTAAAAAATTGTTCCCTTGTGCACTGTTGATGGGAATGCAAATTGATGCAGCCACTGTGGAAAGCAGTATGGAGGTTACTAAAAAAACTAAAAATAGAAATACCATATGATCCAGTAATTCTGCTTCTGGGAAGAAAAAATCACCAGTTTGAAAAGTTTTGAAAAGATATATGCATACCAATATTCATTGCAGCATTATTTACAATAGCCAAGGTATGGAAATAACACGTGTCCATTGATAGATGTATGGATAAGGAAGATGTGATACATATACATAATGGAAATTTTTTCAGCCATAAAAATGAATGAGGTCTCATCTTTTGTGACAGTGTGGATGGACCTTAAAGTATTATGCTCGTGAAGTAAGTCAGACAAAGAATGACAAGTACCATATGATTTCACTTACATGTGGAATTTAAAAACAAAACAACTGAACAAACACATAAACTCAACAGAAACTGACTCAGAAACATAGAGAAGAGTTGGTGGTTCCCATGGGGCTGGGAGGTTGGGGGATGGGCGACGTGGGGGAATAGGATAAAGAGGTGCAGGCTTCTAATTATGAAATAAATTAGCCATGGGAATAAAAGTACAACATAAGGAATATAGTTAATGGTATTGTAATATCTTCGTATGGCGACCAAACTTATCTACATATACTGCAGTGAGCATTTAGTAATATATTTAATTGCCACATCACTATGTTATATACCTGAAACCAATGTAATGTTCTGTATCAACTAAATTTCAATTAAAAAAAGTAATGCTAAGGACAAAGAAGGACGAGAAGGTTGTATTGGTAAAAATTGAAGGAAAAGTAATGTGAATTTTAAGTAGTCATTTTCAGGTAATAGAACTACATTTATTTACTATGTTATTCTTGTTTTAATGAAATGACATTTATTGGAGAGGCACCAGTGTAATGTGTGTGTGTGTGTGTGTGTGTGTGTGTGTGAATGTTTGTGTATAACGTACACACAGATGTATTTCATGTGTTGACTGCTTCAGGGCATGACAGCCTGAATTCCCTTTTCTGTGTTGGTGTCTCTAGGCACAAGTAGGGTGAGCACACCCCTCTGAATGTGGGATATTATGTCAGAGAGTTTTAAATGGCTTACAGGAGACCTGTAATGACCCTGCCAGGGTGACCCAGACCATTCATGCAACCTCCCTCAGCCTCGTTGATTGAATTCTCAAGTGAGGAATCACTTTCTCTCTGAGTCATAGGGTTGTTGTGATGGCCCCAAATGAAAGCTCTGTCAAGGCAGCTGCACACATACTCCTGAGCCAGAAGCAGGGCAGCTGGAGGGGAGGGTGGGCGAGGAGCCATGGAGACAGAGGTCTGTCTCCCAGCTGCTGGCAGGGTGAGTGCGTGGCCTCCACTTAGCACCCTTCGGTCTTACTTTCCCCCTTCTGACAGCAGGGTTTCCTTGCTGGGTCCGGTCACACTGAGCGAGGAGGCGCCTGCGTGGGAGGGGTCCTGTTGGCGGAATGGCGGAAGGGGAGGGCACTGAGTAGGGCCAGGACGTCTGCAGTGAGGTGGCTCGCGTGGGCTCCTAGAGTCAGGGCAGGGAAGAGACAGGTGGCTCGCAGGCGAGGGCTCAGAGTGGGGTGTTAGAGCTGAGGGAAATAAATGTATTTTTAGGGAGAGGGTTATTTTATTGGTGACACTAAGTTGCTGGTGCAATGTGCTATTAAATTCTCTACAGATAGTATTATTTAAAAATTATCTACAGAAAATGCAGCCTTTTATTACCTGCATTGTGAGTGGATGGTCTCCCCCATCCTCCTCACTCTGACCTGTGACTGGTGTGCCTCAGGCATGAATTCATGCTAATATGAATAAATAAATGAAATAAAATGCAAAGAGAAAGCTTGATGAGGGATCTTTACATAGTACTAAAGTACCTCCTTACAAAAGAGTTATTAGTTAAAAAGAGAGAAAGCGGTAACTTTAGGGTGGGGTAGTCTGGCATGCACCATCTCCATCAAATGATTAAAGTCGACATATCATAACTTTTGAGATGATCAAATTCTGTGCCACCTGCTTGAATGCGATGAGAACAAGGCAGGTGATTCCTGCCAGAGCTGCGGACCCAGAACCTAATCATGAGGCAATACATCAGAAAACCCCAAACGGAGAGACATTCCACACAATAACTAACATCTCTGAAATGTGTTAATGTCACAGAAATTAAGGAAAGCCTTGGGAACTGTTCCAGATTGAAGGAGATGAATGAGACACGATAATTCAAAAGAATGCACTCTCTAAACTGGATCCTTTTGCTGTGAAGGACATTACTGGGGGCATTGAGCACATTTTGTACAGGGCCTGAAGGTTACTTAGAGTTGTATCAGTGTCAATCTTTCCTTCCTTCCTCCCTCCCCTCCTGTCTTGCTCTTTCTTTTTTCTGTGACAGAAAGGGCAACCAGAACCCTACAGACCTGTGAAAAATCACAGTCATAGAGCACCACCCAGGTCTGTGAACTTGGAGCATTCACTTGTAGAGGCTGCAGAAGGCCGAGTGGGGAGACCCAGGGTGAAGGAGGTAAGGCCAGACAGCTAATGACATGAGTTGTTTTATCATAATTTTGTATCACACATTTATATATATATATATTGACATGAAGCAATGATAGTGACTTCAATGATGAAATAAGATATCCCATGATATTCTACCACATTTTAATAAAAATAATGAATGAATCTGTTAATTTCTTGATTTTGGTTATTATAGTGTGGTTGCAGAGGAAAGCATCTTGGTACGAAATATAAAGTATTGGTGTGAAGAATTATTGCGTTGGCAACGTACTCTCGTAAGTGCAGAAAAAAGTTGTATTATGCCTGCAGCTTTTCTGTAAGTTTGCAGTTGCTTCAAAGTTATAAAAAAAAAAAGAGAAAACCATGACTCAAAAAGTTACATAACCTGACCAAGGCCACATGGATAATAGGTGGCAGCTCCCAGTGCAGCTGAGGTGTGTCTGCTCCCAAAGCCACACCCTCCGCCAGCAACCTCTGGCGCCCCAGATATCTCAGTTGCCTCCCCCGAGACCCTTCAAAAGACTCTGTTCCTGTTCCTTCCCCTACAGAGCAGCCTCCCCTCCCAAGCCAAGCCAAGGTCCTTTTGGTGGAGCCACCCCCCCACCCCCGCTGCCGCAGCCTTGTGCAGGCCCTGGCTCCCACCCCACGCCCAGCCGGGTGCCTGCAGCGGCAGGAGGGCAGCTTAAAGGGCTCTGAATAGGCTCTGGCTGCTTCCAGAAGCGGGGTTCTTTTAGCTGAGCTTGCACTCCCCCAAAGTTCTCTCACCCTTCCTGAGGATCTCACAATTTTTCAAATCCCTTACAAGTATGCGTGGCGATTCTGTCTTGTCGTGGATTCTGCTGTCACCATATAACCATATAACCTCCATATAACCATCATCCATATAACCTCTAAGTTAGAGGTTCCCTCCTAATCAAGCAGCTTGAATAGGGGATCTCATCAATCAGGGCTTCTTAATCATGCCACCACTTAAGGTAATCACCACTGCAGGTTATCAGACATTTCCCACCCCCAGAGACAGAAGCTGCTGCTCTCCTGGGACCTCGCAGGCTCTGGCCTGCCTCCCCGCAACATAGCCTGCCTGGGCAGAGGGCAGGGGGCCATGCAAAGGGTGACCTGTGACTCCGAACCATGTGCCCACCAACTCAGCAGCAGGCTCCAGAAGCAGCAGCTGGGAGGCCTGAGGGGCCCCGTGGTGAGGCAGGTCCCATGACAGCTTGTTCCCGCCCCACCTCACCACCCTCAGCTTGAGCCATGGCCCCTGTGCTGTGTGGAACCTAATGGGCCGTTCCCAGTGCTAGGAGGCTCTGTGGCTGGGATGGCCCCAGGAAGGAGTCCCCTGGAGACATTCTGGTCATTGCTGGTCCGCCTTCTGCTCCCCTGGGAAAAGAGCCCAACCTAGTATGTGCTCTCCTGCTGGTGGACACTTGGGGGATGGTGGTCCTGGGCCTGTGAATGTGGCACCAGCTGGACTGGCAGGCAGGGGCCCTGGACGGGGAGGGGTTCTCTGCCACATGCCTCCCTCACTTTCTGTGTAAGTGCCCTCATGTGTCACGCCAGGGGAGCTGGCTGGGGTAGAGGGTGTGACCTCCGGCCCTCAGGACACCCCCTTGTTAGAGACTTGGGGCTTCCCTTCAGCAGGTCTCCTAAGTGTCCCTCGAGCCTGAGTGCTCTGAGGAAATGCTGTGTAAATAAGATGGATGCTTCCTGCCTGGCCCTCCCCGGCTAGAGCCCTCGTGATGGGAGGCTCTCTGGGGTGGGGACGAAGGTGGTAGCCCACATCCATATAAATGGTGCCATCTGCCTCTCTGCTCTACCCAAAGGCACAGATCCACATTGGCTCTGCTGGTGCAGGTGAGTTCACCCAGTGTGGTTGGTGAGAGCCAGCCCTGCAGTCATAGGCTCACCTACGGGCTGGCCTGGGAAGGAGGGGGCCTCCCCATGCACCACGGGTGTTTTTCCACAGGATCATAACTATGGATGCAGGAAGATGGGCTTGCAAATATCCCCATCCTTCCCTGTGCTTCTCAGCCAGGTCCATTCCCACCAGGGACTCAGCAGGGCCAGCCAGAGGGAAGAGCATGCTAAGGAAAAGGGGACACCCCAGCAGGGGAAGAGGACTTGGGGTGAACAGGCTGTCAGCCCTGGTCATCTCTGTTCATTCTCAGGAAGATGATCCCCTAGAATCTGGAAGGAGGGTGGCTGAGAGGATGAGGGACAGATGGAGTGGGTGAGTGACCTCCCTCCCACCAGCAGGCTGGGAGGGACAGGTCAGGATTGAAGCTGAGAGAGCTGAAGTGCATTGCCCATGGTCACAGTGAGGTGTGAACAGAGCCTCCTTGAGAACCCAGTTCCTCTGACTCTCCAGAGCCAGAGCTCTTTACTCCTTGCCCGCTGGGTGCCATGCCACCTCAAGCCAGAGGGATGGGGCGTGAGGCCACGTCAGGTGGCGAGCAGCCCCGGGAGTTTCCAAGGATTCTCTGGGTTTTCCCAGGCCTCTTATCCGTACCTTCTCGGGGCCTCAGGCTCTGCATGTTCCCGACTCTGGACAAGTCGCAGGACAAGTCGCAGCGAGCAGGGGCCCTCTGCCAATGCTTCAGAAGGGCAATGACCCCTCCTTTCTGCAGCAGAGGTCACTGGAGCAGGAGCCATGCTACCAAGCTCTTTGGCCCTCGCCCTCGTCTCGCTTGTGGTTTCTGGCATTGAATGCGATGTGAAGGAAGCCTGTGTTGGGAACCCTGGCATCCCAGGAACTCCAGGATCCCACGGCCTGCCTGGCAGGGACGGGAGAGATGGCATCAAAGGAGACCCCGGCCCCCCAGGTACTCGGGGGAAGACTGCCCCTCAGCTTCTGGACAGCGACCTGTTTCTAGGAGGCCTGCCTGTCCAGGGCCCAAGGGTCAGCCAGATGTTGGGGAGTGGTGGGAGTGTCCCGGGACCATCAGATGGCAGCAGCTCTGATCCACCCTCAGAGTGCCTGTGGAGGGACAATGAGGCAGCCTGACGGGTAATGGAGGCCCAGCCACATCAGCCTCACCCCAGCTGTGGGTGACTGATCCCACGTATCCATGTCCCCTTCTCTCTGCAGGCCCCATGGGCCCTCCTGCAGCAATTCCAGACTTCTACAGGTGTTAATGGGCTGTCTGGGGCCCCTGGCATCACTGGAGAGCGTGGAGACAAGGGAGAGCCTGGCGAGAGAGGCCCTCCAGGTGAGCAGGGTGGGAGAGAGGGCAGGGGCAATGTGGCACGGTGCCCATGATGGGGATCAGACAAAACCGTGGGGTCCCCCAAAGGGCATACTGCTCAACCTCAATGACAGAATCTGAACTGGAGGAGAGGAGTCAGAAGTGTGTGGGCCACAGGCCACAGTGCAGGGACTGATGGGTTTAAGTGCCCTGCAACTCAAGACTGCTGATGAGGGAACACAGGGAGTCGGGTGTGGGAAATGGGGCAGCACTGGGAGGCAGGGGAAGCCCTTCCTGGGGCTGAGGCATGGGGGGCATCTGAGAGGTGTACAGGCTTATGTGCGCCCAGGATCCAGGCAGATGGTGTGACCAGGAATCCCACATGCAGAGAACTTGAAGCTCTGCGTGGTAATCAAGGTCAATCAGGAAAGTGAACAGAGAATCAGGGTGCGGGGGAGGGCTGCCCAGAAACCAGATAAATGCCCAGAAGTGGACAGACAGAGCTGCTAAAAAGTATGGCAGGAAGGAAGAGCAGGGAGAGAGCTCCACAGGGGCAAGGGAATGAGGAGGAAGTGTGAAGATACACTCCAGTATTGTGGACCCGATAACCTGGGGACTGGGTAGTGCGTCTGCACGAGCAGAGGGCAGAAGGCCGGGATGCATCTGGACAGGACAAGGCTGCCATCACACCTGCTGGGCAGCAAGTGGTCGGGGGTCTTTGTTGGCTCCCTCCTCATCCTGGGTGGGAATCTCTCCACAGGGCTTCCGGCTTATCTAGACGAGGATCTTCAAACCACACTCCACGTCTTGAGGCATCAAAGCCTTCAGTCACTGGGAGGTAAGGGGACCCCTTAGGGCATTTTAGGGTAAGTGGTCTTCCCTAAGTTCCCCTCATCCTCAGCATTAGGCTCCCACCCTAGGGACTTGACAAACAGGTGTGGACATGCAAGTCCCGGGGAAACAAATGATACTTTCCTTTTCTGACATCTTTGAATGGCCCAGAGGAGACAAAACTAGACATGGTTTAGCCCCCTGTGTCCTGATTTATGGGAAAGCAAGTTCTCTTCCTAGAATGCTTTGTAGTGAATCCCAGGAAACTATAGTTGCTGGCACATAATTGACAGTGAATAACTAATTGCTAGATGGGTGAACGAATGAATAGAACAATGAGAGCTTAGGGGAGAAATTTGAAAAGACTAGGATTGGAAGAGGAAGGGAGACAGAGAGAGGCAGAGATGGAGAGATTGGAGGGAGCAGAAGGGCAGAGAGCCCCAGTGAGGCAGAGGGACTGAGGCAAAGCAGTGGGTAGCCTGACCCAGTCCTTTGCTTTCAGTCCTCAGTTTGCAGGGGTCCATGCTGGCAGTGGAAGGAAAGGTCTTCTCCACCAATGGGCAGTCAGTCAATTTTGATGCCATTAGAGAGTCATGTGCCAGAGCAGGCGGCCGCATTGCTGTCCCAATGAGTCCGGAGGAGAATGAAGCCATTGCAAGCATCGTGAAGAAGCACAACACTTATGCCTACCTGGGCCTGGCCGAGGGCCCGGCCACTGGAGACTTCCACTACCTGGATGGGGCCCCTGTGAATTACACCAACTGGTACCCAGGGGAGCCCCGGGGGCGGGGCAAAGAGAAGTGTGTGGAGATGTACACAGATGGGCGGTGGAACGACAAGAACTGCCTGCAGTACCGATTGGCCATCTGTGAGTTCTGAGCAAGCATCAGGGCCCTGGGAGAGATTGAGTCCTGCCTTGCCACTCAACCTCCATCTGTAGGAAGCACCTGATTTTTATGAGATACTCTATCTCTTTTTCAACAAAATCCATTTGTGGCTATTATAGTTGGAGGCACTCTTAGCCACTCTGCTTCCCAGTTGGGCCCTGCCTCTGCCCCCAGATCACTAATCAGTCTGGCGCTCACCCCAGAGCCCTGTCGCAGCTCTGCACTCTAGGCCACCACTCCTAACTTTGCCCTTCGGCAAGAGATAGAGCCTTCCTCTTCTCGTCCAGTTCCTTCCTTTATAGATGGTGAGGTCCTAGGATGGAAATACCTCAGAGTGTGCCTGCTTCCTGGCCCCCTCTACCCTTTTTCTGCAGTCCACCACCTGCCCAGCCTCATCAAGATTTAGCATTCTAGACAAGCATGATGACAGACAGGCAGACTTCTCAGAAACTCCAAATGTGTGGGGAGGCCAACCCAACCCTAGTGACTGGCATATATTATCCACTCCCTTGAGTCCTGGGGTGCAACCCAACTCCTGGACCTGAAATCAGCCAGTCTATGCCCCACACCCCAGAAACAATCCAAATAATTTCCTGCTGATCGACATATCCCCACACCACTTGCCACACCATGGACTATTTATTGAGCACCTACTGCCCAGCACCTTGATAGCGCTTCTGATACACCTTCTAGAATATTATTTAATCTTCACACAATGCCATGGGACCACCATTATTTCCCCATTTTTTTATATGAAGATATTGAAACAGAAAAGTTAAATGTTTTGAATTTCATTACAGTGAGTTTATTATAAGTGGCTGTGACTGGATTCAAACCCATCTATGTGGACCTGAAAATCATGCTCATAACCACCCCACCTCACACTGAACAGAGATGATTTAACTGTAATAAATCATGAATGTGTTAACATGAGCCTCCATTGCTTTGGTTCCAAGAAACATCACATATCTGCATTTTTATAAATCAAATTAACTCTGGCTCTCAGCCGCCATTTGCCCAAAAAAGGGAAAATTCAATCTCAAGTTATGCTTTCTTTGTTGGGTGGGAGTGGCCACCAGCTCTCCACCCTTAGGTTGTATGGGCGGGTGGTGAGTTGCAGGAAACATCTGGGAGAACGTGTGGGTGTCAGCGTTGATGGCTGGCATTGAGATAACTTGATCTAAGACCATGTGGTCCATTTCAGGGGGGTGGTAGCATGTCTTCCATTCTGCACTCAGCCATCTGGATGTTTTCCATAGCCCAAAGAGGGTGGCATTCAGGGCTCTGTCCCAGGCCTCTGTGAATCACCTCAGTCTCAGTCCTGCATGGAATGGGGCCATGCTCCCACACCCCAGAGCTGTGTCAGAACCAGACCAGGCCCCACGTATGTGTCCTGTCTCTAGAAAGGTCCCCGCTTCTTCCACCTTTACATCTTCGACTGCTCTCACTGCTTCTACTTTTCTTAGACAAGAGGAAGCTCTGGATCAAAGACCACAAAACCACATAGGATTGAGTAGAAACATTTCTCTTTGAGATGTCCCCAAAATTCAAAAGTGCAAGAAAAAGCACATTTCCCGTTCTGTAGATGAACAGTCTCAGCCTCCAGAAACTGATGTCTTCTTATTTCTTGTTAGGTTTATTTTTGCTTACTTTATATACCAAAAAACCCATTATGTGCTATTTTTAGTATATTATTTTTAAAAATCACTTTTTAAATGAATTGTTCCTAGTTCAGAAGAAAACTGTTGATTTATTTTTTTGTTGATCTTATAGCCGACCACCATTTTGGATTCTCATTTTTCCTCCAATATGTCTAATATAATTGATTCTTTCAGATTTTATAAATATATGATGATTTACAAATGACAAAGTTTGCCTGTTCTGTATGATATTTTTATTTCTTGTATGTCCTTCTTATCTTTTTATAGGGGCCAGGAGCCCCTACCTATTGTTGAAGACATTTAATGATAAGTGACACGTTTTGGGGGACACTAAATGTATAAAGGGGACACTTACAATATTTTACCATAGAAAATGTTGCTTGTTTTGTGTTTCTGATAGATACCTTTGATTGACGTAAAGAAGTTCCCTCTTTTTGCTGTTTGCTGAGATGCATTTTAAACATGAATGTGTATTGAATTTGTATCACATGAATTTTTTTTTTAGTCATTTCCAAGTAAGTCAAGTGTGGATTGAATCATTTCTCATTCCTGGGTACTGGGATCTGGAACCCACAGCTGAGAATAAGAGGCTCTAAGTGCCTCATCTTCTAAGGTTATAGAAATGTCCTAGGGACACCATGGAACTGCAAGGAGGGGGCCGTGCGGCAGGAGTAATTTGGTGATTTCCACTCCGTTGGTCAGTATAAGGAGGACTGAAGAGGGGAGAGGAGACTGACCGCTGGGTGGAAATTGTCCTTCCCCTCCACTCCCTGTGGGATCTTAGCAAGTAGGGATGCTCCTATTCTCAAATTGCTGAAGCACTGAACCAGCAGGGGATGAATCTTGAGGAGGCACGGAGACATGGGGTGATAGAATTGTGAGCAAGAGTGTTCTGGGGCAATGTGGATTTCTACCATTTGGAGGGAGTTTCCCTGGGGCTGTGTGAATGTCAGTGCCATGGAAGCTAGCCAGGGTTTAAACCCTGCTCAGAGCAGGTTGCCCCTTGGAACACAGGGAATTGAAAAACAAGAGACTGTGAATTGGAATATCCACTGACATGATGTTGAGGACAGGGAATATGCAGCTGGAGGCTTTTACAGAGTCCCTTCTCTGAAGAACAAGACCTGAGGGGAGCTGTCACTGCAATCAGTCGTCCAGTCAGTCAACAACCCGGCAGGGTGGCCTGAGAAGCAGCTGCACCCCACTGACATGTGGTTCCTCCTGCGAGCAGGTATTGCCCATCCTTGTCACCATCAATCTCTCTACTCCCCACAAGTACAAAGGAATAAGAGAGATGGTCACAGCCACCCTTCAGTTCACCCACAGCCTACCACCATTCTATGGCCAGGGTGGTGCTGAATCAGAGATGAAACAGATCTCAGTGACAAAACTGGAGGTAAATAATCATTTGTTTGGACTCTGTTTTAAATTAATCCCAGAAAGTTTGCATTACAGGAGTCCGGAAAGAAAATGAATGATGAAATTTGGGACCACGTAGTTGTTTTGAGAATAGGGTGAACGTCAAGCTTCAGGATTATACATATCTGCATTAGGCCTTTTAATTAAACTTGTTATATATTAAATTAGTGAGTTACATGAATTTATTTTTTTGATGTTGAACCATCCTTGCACTCCTGGTATTTACCCTAATGGCTGGTACTCTCATCATACTATGGATTAGGTACTATACTTGTATTAACTCATGTGATCCTCATTAATCCTAACCGAGTATCTGCATAAGATGTTATTCATATCTCCAAGTTACAAATAAGAATACTGAGGCACTTTAAGGTTAAAGTGATTTGCCAAAGATTGTGCAGGCAATTCATAGTAGAACTGGGCCTTGTATATAGGAAGTCAGATCCCCAAGACTATATTATTAACCAGTAACACATGTAATAAGAATACTGAGGCACTTTAAGGTTAAAGTGATTTGCCAAAGATTGTGCAGGCAATTCATAGTAGAACTGGGCCTTGTATATAGGAAGTCAGATCCCCAAGACTATATTATTAACCAGTAACACATGGCTGGACTATAATAGTTATTTTTTACCTCAGGCTTTTAGGTGGGTTTGTGTCTGCTCCACATATTTAATTATTCTAATATTAGTAGTTACCAGGGACATAGCCTTCCCATGATTGGAAAAAACAAGAGGTCAGGTTAAATCCACAAGAACACTTAAAACTGCTGCTTCCTTCATTTCTGCTCATACTCACATGGCCAAGACAAATATCAAAGAGGTTGGATGCTCACTCCATATGCTAGTGGGAGGCTCTGCAAACGACCGTGGCAAAGGGCATCGGTATATAATTATGTGATAAGGCAAGTGTGATTCCCTCTTGTCCAACACCAAATACAATGGTGTATTTGTTCCCTACATACATGTATAACAATATCAATATTATACACAACAGTAATAGTAGTAATAACTCCATTTGGGTTCCTGGATCCAATTCCAAAGTGTGTAAATTTGTGGGAGGAGCTCTTCCCACACATACTTACACTAAGCAATTCTCAAACACCAGCAGTGTGCTGGAGAACTCAACTCAGTTCTGATGCTCTCTGCCCAGAGACAGCACCAGATTCCCAGGTTAAGGACTCTGTCCTGCAAGGCTGTCCTCCACCAGACAACAGTCACACGTCCCAGGCAGTTACCTGTGCATCTGACCTACCAGCTACAGACTAGAGGTTCCCACAACCTTCCCCTTAGGTTTGATTAATTTGCTAGAGTGGCTCACAGAACTCAGGAAAACACTTATGTTTACCATTTTAGTAAAGGATACCATAAAGGGTACAAGTTAACAGCCAGATGAAGAGAGACACGGGGCAAGGTCCCAAATAAAGGAGCTTCTGTCCTCGTGGAGCTTGGGGCCTGGCTTGGTGGCACACGGAGGCGATCTGGTTCCCGAAGCTTAGAAGCTCTCCCAGACTGAGAAGCAGGACCCAACCTAGCAGAGCAGGGCAGAGAGAGCAAAAAGCTCTCAGGGGTTTGTGTGAGGGCTTCACTGCATAGCTGTGATTGAGTAAATTATCGGCCGTTGGCTGATTCAGCTTCTACCTGCCCTTGGGTGGGGGTCCAAAAATCTCCCATTAATGTCATAAAACACCTGCTTCACCTTTAAGACTCTGCAGTGTTTTCAGGAACTGGGAATGAAGACCAAATATACTTACCATATTCGGTCATATGAATAACCAAGTATGTATTTTCTTATATCATTATATCACAGTGAGTATAAAAATCAAGAACAATAATCCAAACCCCCATGGTCATATTTGCCAAGTTTTTTTTTTCTTTTTGGCAAAGAACTAGTTTTTTATTTTATTGTCAGGTCTATAGTTATTTCCTTAATTCATTAGTTTACTTATTTAATTTTTACTCATTCCTTATTTATGTATTCCTTAGTTATACCATCTTTTAAAAAACATCAATTTATCTGTTGCATAGAGTCAGTAGTACTTGGAGGACTATTTTTGAGGCTTGTTATACCCATTACCTTTCACTCTGCTTATTTCCTACTGAGTTTGGTAATTTTTACAAGGTGAACTCAAATTTTCTTGACCCTCATCAGAGAAAATCCTGTGGTGCCTGGGTTAAGGTAAGGTCCTCTATTGCTTTTATGTCCCCATAGTGCACTAGGTTGTGACCAGCTGGGACGCTTGACAAACAATTTTTCATCTTGGCGTAAACAGCAAAATTCAATAATAATAATCATAGGGAAAAAAACAGCATACATTAAACCCCCAGGTCAATGAGGGAATGGGCTCATGGACTTGCATCTTCAAAGGAGGCTCCTTCTCCTCACAGGGGTTCAGGTTTTCTTCTTGTCCCTTTGTAATCACAGTGCACATCCCTCCCTCCTCCTGCTTATTCTCTTCCCTCCTTCCCAGGCCACCCTCTCCCTAGGCCTGCAGCACATACAGGATCCTTGTTTTATGTAAATCTGTTTCAAATGTCTACCTTTTTGGGAGGTCTGCCCACCTGCTGTATGGGTTGAATGTTCTGTGTCCTCTCAACCTGTGGGCTCTTCGAAGTTGTGCCAGTGGCATCTGGAAACACAGCCCCAAGAGGGGTTTTCTTTAGAGTGGGCCCCTCTTAGTGCCTGGCAGACTCCTTTCCAACAGGAATTTGGGAGAGCTGCTCAGCGGGCATGGTGACTTGAGTACACAAGGCTAATGACCCTTGAGAAGCCAAAACAGCCATCACAAGGCAGCGTCAAAGGGAAGTGGCCAGGCCCACTCTCCCCACCTGAGAAAAGCAAACGTCTTGAGTTGTTTGGTGAGACAAATTGTTTCAAAGAGTGAGTGTAAGTTTGAGGAAGGGCAGAAATCAAAGGTCCCGTCAAGGACTTGATCGGGCTCTGGAGATAAGACCTGGATCCTCCTGGAAACCGAGGCAAGGCGGAGCCACAGGCTGGGCTGGCATCTGCCCTTACTCATGGTCTCTGTCTCTCTCCTCACTTTCTCATTGGGTCCCTCCTGTGTGCCCATCCCCGGGTTGCACCCTGGGGATAAGGAGGTGAATCAAATGCAGCTCTCACCCTAAAAAAGTAACAACACTGTGAAAGTGGGCACAGACATTAGCTCTAGTTGGAGAAAGGTCAAGAGGGCAGCCTTCAGGACATGATGCTGGAGGATTCATTTGTTCCATAAATGTTTATTGAGCATCGACTGTTTCCAGGCACTCTTCTAGGTGGGGATACAACAGCTGCCGAACAAGACCCTTCTTTTGATAAAGTTTCTGTTCTAAAAGAGCAGGGTGCTCAACAAATATGCAGTCAAATAACATAGGACAATTCGTAGAGACAGAGAATTGCGATTTCATGATAGAGTGGCTACTTAAAATTAAGTGATTAGGTAAGCCCTTTCTCCAGAGATAACATGGAAGCTGACATCTGAATGATAGCAACCACTTATGCAAAGATAAGAGAGAAGTGCCCAAGCTGGAATAGGCACTGGAAACGCCTGCATTTGGCTTGAATATGAGCTGTCTACAAATGCTGCTTGCCTGTGTGCCAAGCCCTGTTAACACGTCCAAAGGAGACATTTGAAAAATGTTCTGAATGACAAAGGAGGAATGAGGTGTCCCTAATCCCTCCCTCCTCTGCCAGTAAACTAAACACAAATGGAGGGGGGATCTAGTCAGAACAGCTGAACAGAGGTGTGTGCCTGTATGTGTGTGTGTG